TAAAAAAGAGAACTTTGTGATATATTGAGTGCATACTTAGTACAACTTATTGACCAGCTAGTTGTGGAAGAATGATTCTGCCTTTGGTTGGATGCTGGTACCATTCACTAACAGGGTAATATATGGGATGGCGTATATGGAGGAAAAGTGACTTGTTTGGGTATGTGATGTTTTAAGTACTTAAATACTCCTACAAAGAAAGTCAGTATGATCCAAAACTTAGGAGAGAAGGAGGTCTAGTGTGGGCATATAGATTAGGAATGCTTATCATACTGAGCAGTAGTTCTCAGATATTAGTGTACCCAAGAATCACCGGAGTGCTTGTTCAGTGCAGTTCCTTTATCTAACCTCAGAGGTTCTGGTTAAATGTGTCTGGGGAGGGGCCAAGGAATTGACCTTTGAAGAAGCTCCCCCAGTGATTTCCAGACAGGACCAATTTGGGGGAAATACTGCCCAAAAAATAGGAAAAGAATTACAAGGAAGTAGTGCCATGAAACCCAAAAGTAGAGAACTCCAACGAGTAACAGTGGTGTCTATGGGAATATGGCAGATCCTGAAAGCTTGGAACGGAAAGGATCCACTAGACTTGGCAGCCCATAGGGGGACCCTGTTGACCTGGAGGCGCAGGTGCAGGAAGTGGAAAGAGCCCCTGCCAACTGCAGTGGGTAAGGAAAGAGATTCAGTGCACGAAGCAGGTCTAGGAAGGGAGTGGAACACCTGCGGACAGAGGACGAAATCTAATGTCTGAAAGACCAGGTTCAAGCTCTCAGGCTGCCACTCTATGTTTACATCATGTAATTTCCCCTTAGAGCCCGTTTTTTTGGCTGATAACATGTGAATGCTATGTTACAGAGCCCATTGTGCAAGTTAACTATGATAGTGCATGTGAAAAATACTGTAAATTGCTCTTTCAAACACACCTGTGGGAGAGCAGGTATCTAATTAATTGCCTGTCCACTGTGACAGAACATCCCCAACTTTGGTCATTGGAGTGTCCACCTCATAAAAAGCACAGGGTTTCGGGGAAAAGAGTCATATGTAGTGTCTTAAATGGACCAATGCCCTCACGTTGCAGAGGAAGAAGATCCGGAGGTCTGAGTGGAAGCAGAAGTAAATTGGTTTGTCTAAAGTCGTAGTATTTAATGGCACGGCCAAGTATGAGATTCAGCCAAGAGCCTGGTGTGGCAGCATATTCCTGTAATCCCAGCCATTTTGGAGGTCGGAAAAGGAGGATCACATGTTTGAGTCCAACCCAGGCAACTTGCAAGACCCATCCCGAGAAAGAAAAAGGAGAAGGGAATGGAAGGGAAGAGAAGAAGAAGAGAGAAAGAAATAAGTAGAGAGTTGAAGATGTAGGTAGCTCAGTGGTGGAATGCTTGCCTTGCATGTGTGAAGGCTGGAGTTTTATTTCTAAGCACTGAAAAAACAAATTCAGGCAAAGTCCTGATGCAACACCCCACCCCACCCCTGCTCTGCCCTTGTGTTATAACACACTTCTTTGCTTAATTCTCTGCTCCTTGAATCTTGATCCTTTTCTTCTATAGCAAAGACAGAAATAGGTAACTAGAGTTTTACTGACTGGGGTAAAGTAAGAGGAGCAAACTGTTATTGACCAGTCTCCTTCCCTCATATTCTCTGGCCCTCAGGGACGGCCTAAATTTAGTCTAGAACCCCAGGCAGCAGAGGAATCAGTGAGCAGCAGAATAACAAACAGAGCTGCTACACACCGTGTTTAATTCTCCCTTCACAATTAAAGAGCTCTCCAAAACGTCAGCAATAAAGAAGGCTGTCGCTGGGGACAGACCTCAAACGGCAGATAATTATTACAGAAGGTTTCTATCTTATGACAGGGACAGAGACAATGCTTTCCATACTACATGCATGCATTTGAAGCTCCAGCTCTCTTTCTAAGCTGCCCAGGGTGGGCCAGAACTTTCAGTCCCTATCACCCAGCAGAACGCTGGTACCCAGTAAGGATTCCATACATGGTGCTGAATGAATGAAAATGATTTTATCTGGGACTCTGCATCAGCTTACTTCTTCCCAGGAAAAAAAAAATCCCTAAAAAATTGACGTACACGTATTATTTCTTTCCCTACCTTAGACCCTAGTCTCCACTCTTGCTGCCTTGATTTTTTTCCTAAGCTAAAGGAACAACGTGTTTTGTCCTTCACTAGAGACCTTTTCTGGTATATATATATCTCTTATACCACTTTGCAGTTGACTAGCTAAAAGTTTAAAAAAACTGTTTATACCCATGTCTTCCCAAAAAATATTTTCAGGAAAACAGATAAAGCTCTTTAGTTTGTGAACTACTAATGTAACACACACACATACACACACACACACACACACACACACACGCACGCACACATACACACACATACATAGTGTCACAAACATATTTGGAAAGACAATAAAAGTCACAAAATTTGTTGCTAGCTTTGCTTGCATTTGCTGTGCTGAGGATGGAACCCAGGGGCCTCACAGCTAGCAAGGTCTACCATAGATCTATATTTATTGGTAGAATCCAATAAATATTAATATATAACAATGGTAATGTTTCTTAACAGTAAAAGAAATTATTTTCTCTCCCATGAGCCATTTTCTCCACCTTGTAAGCACTTTTTTTCCTTCCTATTAAAAGAGGAAAAAAATTGATTCACTGTTTTCTAAGATGTCACCTTGTTCTCTTTCCTTTCACGTATTTTAGGAAACAGTCTTGAGTTTTCCTTGTCATCGTTGTGTATCTTTCTGCTTTATTTGAGCCATAAGCTTTTTAGAACAAGGATTGTCCTCTAAACGTGGGGAAAGTGACATTTATTTTTAGTGCTCAGTACTTTTTAAACCTCCCCTTTCCTTCAAAGCAGCTGTGATAGTCACAGGATAATACTTCTTCTCCTAAGGCAGATTATGACATAAGAAACGGAACAGACTCATAGGATGGAAATATGAAAGAAGTACAATAAAGAGCAGAGGTTAGAGATGAGTTTTAGGTCTGAGTATGTTATGAAGAGATACAGGAGGGGCTAAAGACAGGATACATTATTGGGAAATAACTCCATGGGGAGGTCCAAGCATTGGGAGGAAAATTAAATTCACCAACCATTCCAGTGCTGGCTCAAGTTTGTGGTCATTTGGTGACAGGAAAGTCATGATTCCTACCCTGCTACAAAGAAGGGGTGTGTGTGTGTGTGTGTGTGTGTGTACACAATGACAGGATAAAATTAATCTGGTAAAGATATAAAAAGAAGGGTATTCTAGGGAGGTTTTTTTAACTTACATTTTATTCGTTAAGGGGAAAAACTAGAGTGCCCAGCTTTCTAACATAAAAGCCTTTCAATGGTTCTGGAAGTCATAAGGGCTATTTCCCCAAATTAGAAGCATGTCTCATTTTGCACATATGCTACTAAGTATTTTATTTGCTGCTTTTCTTAAATTTAGGAACACATTTTAGAGTTGTACTTAAGATTCTAGATTATAATCTGAACACTCTGAAGCTATGTATTTTAAATGAGTCTCCCTTGTTTTTTTAAATATAGTGTATCTTGCACGAATGAATCTTGTAATAATAGACAAAGGTTGAGAGTTAGAAGGATTCCCAGTATGGGAAGGTACATGGCCAACTTACAGACGTCTCAGTAATATGCAAATACTCAAATATAATAGCTGGACTAACAAGATTTCTAAACTTGTTATACTAAAAAGCTTTACTTCAGGTGTTTTTATTTATAAGGATAGCACACTATAAAGTCATCAGCTCCTGATTTTCTTGCTGTTATACACAGGGACGATTGATGCTAATATGGAACATTTCCTGCTAGTTATTCATTGATTTAAAAAAAAGTCATTTTTTTCCAGAGTCTGGGCAGGAGATAAGATGTCAAGAAGCAATAAGCAGTGAAATGAAAGAGAATGCAAAGGAACCAAAAAGACAAAACATTAAAGCGATGTTATTCCCCCCCCTTACGTAGATGGACAGGCAAATTATAGCCAGTAATTACAGATTCCTTTTCACCAAAGACAGAATGGTCTTGGAGAATCAGAGTATGGGAGAAGTGTCCAATCAAACTGCGTTCTCTTCCCCCCACTCCACCAGACTTACGGGACAGGGCTTTGGCCAAGGTCATTTACCTTTTCTGTGCCCTAACTTCCTGAAATGATGAGAAAGATTACTGGGAAGATGAATAAAGTCGCGCTTCAGGGCACCCAAAACTGGTCAGGGAAAGGTGCTACAAGAATATTGGGTAGCACTACTATCGCTGAACTGTCTTCTGTTGGAATGAGTCATCTTGCCTCAGAGACTCATAAGCAATCCCAGCTGTGCTGGAGGACCAGAGAGGAGGCAAGTACAGCATTTTGGGGGGCGTGCTAAGAGGAAGGATCCCTGTTGCTGTGATTAGGGAACTAAGGGGATCGGTGGGTGGAGCAAGACATTTTTTTTTTCAGTCTGCACTACAGTTCAGCAAGATGGTTATACAGACTTTTGAAATCCCACAACCAGTTTGAATCCAGGCTTTGCCACTAAGCGTTATGACTGTGGGCAAATCACATTGTTTCTTTAAACTTCACTTTCCCCATCTGTAAAATGGGGTTATGATAATATTTATAAGGTTTTTACGGAGATTTACAAATGTACAATATCGAAAGAACTCTGTAAAGTAAGGTGCTGCTGTGACATGGGACAAAAGAAAGCAGAAATCTTATTAATAATAAGTGAATCTTTCTTTTAAAGAGAACAAGGTGAGGGCTTTTTTGTTTTGTTTTTTATAAAACATCATACGACCTAAGGGGCCTAGGAAAAGAAAAACTTGTTTTGTCAAGTCTGCATCCACTCATATTTCATGGGTGCAGAGTAACTCGTTAAACCTTTGATGTTTGGCACACATACGAACAGGAAAAGCCTTCCGTGTGCTTTAATTTTAAAAGCTATTTTTAAAAAACGACATATATACACTTGAAATATCTCTTGGCTATCCAACAGCTCTTATAAAACAAACCTCGGCTGCTGCGTTTCTGTCGATCTGAGAAGAGCGAAGTCGGGGGCGCTGGGATCACCGCGCCGCCTTTGAATCGAGCGGGGCGCAGGGCCGCCCGCGGGCGAAGCCCTGGGGGAGGACGCGCTTTTGATCGATCCCGGAACCTTCGCATGGGGCGGGGCCTG